CGCCCCTCACCTGCAGCTGTAGCTTCAGGGCCCGCACGTGCCGTAGGGCCTCCATGGTTTCCCTGACCAGGGCTAGGACAGAGAGGGGAGGAGGGCAGCTGAGCCCCAGGCAGGGCTGGCCATGAGAACAGCAGGCCCCAGCACCTGCCACCAGTGCTCCCTGGCTGGTCCTCCTGTGTGTCCCCTCCTTTGTGCTGGTGGGACAATGAGACTGAGTGACCCCAAGTGACCACTGTGCAGAGGAGCGGTAACTGTCAGCTGAGCTGTCAGCCCAGGGCTCTCTGTGCGGGCCAGGTCGTACCCTCTGGCCTCCATCGTAGGGCTGTGCGGGCAGGGCCCCTGGTGCTAGGGGCTGCTGAGCCTTCAGCCTGGTGTCTGCTCCACCGGCGGCCAGCATGTGTGTTACGGACCACTGACCCTTTAAGAGGAGGCTGCAGGCCCCGCCCAGCCCCTGCTTCACTGTCCCTGGCTGCCTCCAGCACAGCGCCGGTGGCGCCTCCAGCCAAGGGCCCGTGCTACCAGGAGCCGAGATCCAGGGGAGTCCGGCTGCTCCTAAGCCGCTCCCACCAGTTGGAACTTTCTCTTCCCCTTTTTAACCAATACCTGAGCGCACGTCATAACCATCGAATGGTCTTACAGGGTGGGCTCGTTTTCAGGCCCATCACCTCCAAACAAGACTCAAGTAACAGCCCCGCCGGGACCTTGACCATTCGTAGGACGGGGCCCCCCGAGGGTGAGGTGGTGGAGCTAGGGGAGGGCTGGGTGGCCTGTCGCTTGGGAGCTGGTCCCAAAGCTGGCATCCGGACCTGATGCCCACCCCTGTACTCCATGCCAAGCCCAGCATGCTCTCCCACAGAGCCTCCCAGGACAGCGTGGGGCCTCCACCCCACCCCCAACTAGCAGGTGTGTTAGGGGGAGGAAATCCTGGCCTTCCTCGAGGACTGGGGGACAGGTGGTCCTGGCTGCAAAGAACCGCTGAGCGCTGACAGCTGGCGGTGATGCCCCTCAGAGAGGGCTGTGGGACGCAGGCGTCGAGTCTGCACTGAGCCTGGGGCCTCAGCCACGGGACCCCTAACATCAACTGCCTGCCGGCCCCATAGCCTGGCCCCCTCCTGCTCAGGAGGCCCAATGCCGCCCCCATCCTCCTGGGGCCCTGGTAGCTGAGGCAGGGCCCAGGGCAGGGCTCTGGCATTCACTGAGGGCTGCTGGCCAGGGTGCAGCCCGTCTGGGCTTTTCAAGGGTCCCCAACCCAGGCTGGCCCCTCTGTCTGTCAGGGTCCGAGTGACCTGCAGCACGAGGCAGGGAAGGGGCCTGTGGCCCTCCATAGGCAGATGCCCGGCCAGACACGGGGAGATGCTTTGACTGTTCAGGAGATGAAGGCAGCCCCCTTCCCTCCAGACTCACCTGCAAACTCAGGAATCTGTGAATCTTCCACTTCGAACAGCAGCTCGTCGTGAATTTGGGCGACCAACCTGGAAGACACATGGCCCAGGAGGGCGTCACCGTGATGCGGGCAGTTAGGACACGCCACTCGATCAGCGGCCAGGGGGTGTTCGCTGGGGTGTGCACACCAGGCGCTCAGCAGAGGGGCTGGCCCACAGGGCCCGGGGTGGGGGCGCTGATGCCCAGGGTCGCTGCTTAGAAGTAACCGGTGCCTGGCAAGGGCATGGGGTGGGGAGGGGGCGTTGCTGAAAGTCTAGGCGGCAGGGAAGAAGGGTGTCCCCAACCCCCCGGACCCCACGGCGCAGGGTGCGGGGGCTTGGCATGGATTTAGAAGGAGAGTTTCCGCTGACCGCCGGTGTGGGGCCTGCAGTGAGAAGGTGAAGGCGAATCTGAATGCAGGGGACCCTGGGAACGCTCCCCCCATTTTGAATGCGAGCTTAGGGGAAGGTGACGGGAGGGACAACCCTTTCAAATGTACTTTTGAAGTCAAATACTTAATAAAATTTGGAAAGTACATTCAAAATTTGAAAGTGTAAAACAAACCCCCGCTTAGCTCCCCAGCTCCCCGGCCCATGCCCCAGGCTCCAACCTGCCAGCCCGAGGCTGAGCTATGTGCGGAGCCCTCAGCTGCCGAGCTCCCAGGCCCTGCATGGGCACCTGGTGCAGCCCACCCGGCCAGGTCCTGCCCAATCCCTGCCGGGCCCCACGACTCTTCCTGACCCGACTGCCCATCCCGGCCTCCCCCGGGGCCAGTCCCCGCGCTGGAGGCCGCCTGCTCTGTCTGTGCAGACAGCCCCAAGCAGACCCCTAAGCCCCGCTCAGGCCCCCTTGAGGGCGTTTGTCCCCGCCTGCCTGGCAGAGAGAGGAAGCAGAGCTGGGGGAGCTGTGGGGAGGGGCTCTGGGAGGAGCCCTCGCTGCCTGAGAACCAATGCCCAGAGGCGGGAGGGCTGAGGTTCCAGTGACCCGCAGGCAGGATGCAGCCAGAGGGACACAGCGATGGGCTCCTGAGACTCGGGTTGGCTGCACAGAACACGTCTGTAGCTGGATCCAGCCAGACTTTTCACGCTCTTAGAAGGTGGGGTCTGAGTTGGCTCGCGTGCCTTAGGCAGATGACATGCCCGAGACCCAGTGCCCACCCCTCCCTCGGGGTGCATGAGGGTGGCTTGCAGGTCCACTCAGGGAGGGGGAGAGGCTGCAGCCCTCCAGGAAGGACAGTGGATGCCAGGGGCCTTGTGTGCTCTGTCCTTCGTGTGACCTGGTCCGTCTCTGGAACTAGGCCTTTGAGGGCTGGGGCCGCGTCCAGTCTTGTCACCTCGCTGCCTGTCCACGCAGGCGCTGCACGTGGAGGAAGGGGCAGCAGGCAGACCGCCCTGCGTGGTGAAGCAGTGGCCCAGCGAGCAGGAATTCGGGCTGCGCTGGCTCTTCTGGTGGCTGCCGTGCGGGACTCCGTAGCAGGGCTCCGTGGGGGTCTCCGCCGTGCGGGACTCCGTAGCAGGGCTCCGTGGGGGTCTCCGCCGTGCGGGACTCCGTAGCAGGGCTCCGTGGGGGTCTCCGCCGTGCGGGACTCCGTAGCAGGGCTCCGTGGGGTCTACCGCAGACACTCTTCCTTCCATCGTCGTCGAGTGGGGTGGCGACGGGGCTGGGTCCCCAGCTACAAACATTTCCCAGGCTCTCGGGGGGGTGGCCCCCGAGGGGCAGACCCTGCAGCCCCCAGGCAGGCTCTGTGAAGGGAGCTGGGTGCCCTTCTGACCATCACTACTCTCTCTTTTGGCCGGTAAGGTGACACCTTACCACGACACCAAGAGGGAAAGGGCCAGGGAGCCGGGGGACTTTGGTCCTGCGGCCCTGCACCCTGGGCCCGTCAGCAGCTGGTGCTCCGGGCTTCTGACGAGGGGGCAAGTCCGCTTTCTGGAGCATGAGCGGCGGCACTTGGGCGTGTGGTACCACTGTGAGCGCGCACCCCAGGGTGACGCCTTGGGCGTCATGCCGCGCCCAGACCTGCACCAGGCCGCTGGCCGCAGCCCCTGTGACCGCCCCGGAGGGCTGTGCCTGTATTTGCGGGGCAGCCTCTGGCCCAGTGCTGTCGCCGTGGCCCTTCCAGATGCCGGGTCAGGCTGGCGGTGCTGGCATCGCCTTCTTGACTTCACCGCGAGGCCTCTGGCGGGGTCTTCGGCTCCCACGGGACTTCGCTGTCACATGGGCAGAAACCTCGGAACAGGCCAGTCTTGCAGTGGTGGTTTTCACACCTCTCGAAATTACATTGTGAAGTCTGAGCCTAAGAATAGGTCTGAGCTGTTAGTCACTCACGTCACTGTCAGCTGACAGCGACAGCACCACATCCTACCCGGGCATCAGGACACAGGGAAGCGGTGGAGGCAGATGCCCCGTGCGGGCGCGTGAACACAGGTGCCAGGTCCGCTGTTCCCGGGAAGCCAGCTGACTGCTCAGGTTACTGCCTGTCCCTCTGTCCCACAGTGGGACAGGGCGCCCCGTGGGGACAGTCCGGCAGAGCCTCGCCTCCCCTCCTGTGTGTGGCCGCCTCCTAGGCCCTCTGTTCCATCTGCTCCAAGTCCCCTTGCTGCGTCCCCGTCCACTGCAGGCGCAGCTGGGAGGACGGCCCGCCTGCCTTCCCTCCATCTCGACATTCGAGGTCCTGCCACCTCCGGCAGTCCCGAGGCGCCCTCCTCGGCTTCTTCCTGAGGCCGAGAGAACAACCGTACCTCGGTGCTGGGCGAGACCTGGCGGAGGGTACCCTCGGGAGCTGCTGCCCTGGGAGGTGGCCAGAGGTCTGAGGGCCGCCCGGATGGCGAGCAGGGACCCGACTTCCCCAGGAGGCCCTGTGCCTGCCCTGCTGTCTTCATGCTGAGCACAAAGGAGCCAGGCCGCCGCCCAGGGGCTGGGTCAGGTGGGGTCCTTGTCCCTCCGTGGAGGCCCACGGCTGGCTCAGTTCCGCACGAATGTGGACATTCAGGTCACGCTGAGCCTGTTTCCGCGTGCCTCACTCGGGTGTTGTGGCCGACAGCCCGGAAGCTTCCTCCCAGCTGCACCATGATCCAACACCTAGCGAAGCCTTTGCAGAGGCCGTGGCAGGCCCACCAACGCTGACAACCCAGCCCAAGACAGGCGAGTTCTCCAGGTGACAGCAGAGCTCGCAGCTAGAAGCCCCCCGGGACTTCCTGCTGGGCGAGGCCCCCTAGGGTGACTGGACAGGCCTCCAGAGGTGCGTGCGTCCGTTCCACGACTGTGGGCCTCCCGGACACACGTTTCCATCACGCTGCCCAGGCAGACAGCTCACACATAGCCCACGCCTGCCCTGTGGACACGGCCCACATGCCCTCCACAGCGTGGGGAGGACGCAGCGCGTTAAGTGCCACCGTGCTCCGACCGCCAGACACGACACAGACCGTCATGGGTCATGGAAGCATTTCTAAGGAAACGAGGGGCTGCTGACGGAAAGAGGGCCAGCTGGGCCGTTAAACTCCTGGGCGAGAATTGTTCACACTTACCCAGGGCTCTGCCACCAAGAAAGACCCCAGGTCCTCACATATCAACTGCTTTTATGGATCCCACGAAACCTGAAGACGGATCAGACTTTTCTAGACTTACAACGTCACAGATGCTGAACCACCTGCCCAGGTGGTAAGCGGGACAGGCTGCTCACAGCCCTCCCACGTTTACCCCCTCAACGCGACACAGGTGAGCAGGACACGCGCATTCAGAGGTTCACCGGAAGACCCCTCGGGTGATCTGGGGGTGGCAGGGGGGACTCGGTGCGGGAAAGCGTTTTGCGCTCTCTGCTCTTGTCTCTTGCCTCCCCAGTTCCTACAGAAGTCAGAGCCATACCCCAGACTCCACCCAGTACAGGGACCAGAAGGGTGACTGGGCAGTGCTCCCAGCCGGCTGGGGTCTCAGGCATGGGACCCTCCAGCCCTTCCCCCAGGCCCTGGGGTGACAGCACAGGTATGGCCTCCTGCCAGGCTGCTTCTCCCCAGGGTAGAAGATGGATGCAAAGAGGGGTGGCCGAGACGGTGGTTCTGTGGGGCTGGCGGAGAGTCTCCTCCCCTCTCCTGGACTGGGGTGGCCTTTGCCTGGTACGCACTTATGTGCAAAGTGGCCGAAACTGCCAAAGAGACACAGGCTCACAAATCAGCACGAAGAGTAGCACATATCTGAACACCTATCAGAGAGGGCTTGGCAAAGAGAGACGAGGGCTTCAGAGACAGGAAAAGCAGGCCTCGGGGATGCCGACTCGCCCCGCCCCAGGGAAAGCTGTGCGCAGAAGGAGACGGGGAGGCAGGAGGCAGAGCCCCGCCGGCCTCTGCGCCAGCGACATGCCCGCCCAGAGGGATGTGGGGCGGTGAGTGCGGCGCCCCTCGCCCCTCGGATGGGGCCTGCCAGTCTGATCCACATGGTCTGGAGAAGCTGCTGCCTCCTTGCTGTGACCTCCTCTGCCTGCTGGGAAGCCCCTCTCCCACCCTGCAAAAAGGGAGGGAGCCGGGCCTTCTGGGCTCTGACGCGCTCACTTGTCTGGGGACTTCAGGTTAGCCACAGCAGCCACCTAAGTCCCCAGAGGACTCAGGGAGCCGGTAGGGGCTGGTGAGGGCTCCCTGTCACGCGCCTGCCCCAGGCTCAGGAAGTGGACTCCAAGGAGCCGGTCTGGCAGAGACCAACCGAGAGCCATGGCCCAGTCCGAGCCCTGAGCTCCAGGTACGTCTGGGCACTGGCTCTGGGGTGGGGATGGCCACAGCAGCCGACTGGGGTGGGCAGCAGTAACGAGGTGGGGGTGGTGGCAGTTTGGAGCCCCCATGTCCTGTTTGAGGCACAGTGGGGTCCACCCATCTCCGGGTAGGCAGTTGCTATGTCCTAAGAGGTCAGGCACCCAGAAAGGAGGGCCTGGGAGAAGCATTTCTGCACCAGGTTGACCTTGAGAGACCTCGTGGCGCCCTAAAGTCAGTGGCCTGCTATCACCGCGTGCAGCATGGCAGGCCCTGGGCCCTCCCAGCAGTGCTCAGAGGAGCTCAGGCTCCAGGGAGTCCCTTTGCTGGGGGTGTGATCTTGTGGGAATCGTGACCCAGACCCAGGGTGGAAGCCTGGGAGGTGTGTGGGTGCGGGCCGGCCCCAGAGCAGTAGGCCTTGTGAGCCCTGGGAGGGGCAGGCGCACGCGCATGTGGACGCTGGGCCGGGGAGCCTGGCTCTCACTGACCTGGCCGTCAGGGTTGGGGAAGAGGCCACCGCAGCGAAGATGTGGACCATGGCCATCTTGCAGAGGTCTGCAGCCGAGCCTGTGGGCACAAAAGCTTCTGCTTCATGGACCATGTGAGGCCCCGGCCCCAGTGACGGCCTGCACTGCCTGTCCAGGCCGCTGTCTTAGTTATCTATGCTGTATACACGTGACCCCACACCCAACAGGTCACGACACCCCAGATCGACCGTCTCATGGAGCCCACATGTGTCCTGGGGCCTCTGCTTGGGTCTCAGGCTGAGATCAGTGTGTGACCTGGACATATTCTCACCTGGAAGCTCCACCAGGCAAGACCCACTTTTAAGTGACCTCAGCCTGTTGGTGCTGGGGGCCGTGGATGCCAGGGGCCATGTGAGCCGGGGGCCATGTGAGCCAGGGGCCATGTGAGCTGGGGGCTGCGGGAGCTGAGGGTGTACTGGGTTTGGATGCTTGCTTGAACTCTTACACCTGCCAGGCATGAGGAGTACAACAGAGAGTCCCAGGCCAGAGTCAAGGGTACGAGCTGCAGGCTTGGCCCTGTGCTGGCTAGATACACTCCTGGGGCCTTGGTCCCCCTTTGCAGACACAGGGAGAGCCCTGCTCCAGCCCACCTTTGGGGGAAATGTCACACTTATAAAGATGACCACGTTCTGGGCACCTGCCACCTTTCGGCGCTGTTCCACTGCTGCCTGACAGTAACTGCCAGGGAGGACAGGAAGAGGAAATATCGTGATGATGATCTGGTGAGTGTCACCCAGCCCTGCAGCTGCCAAAAACTCGAGAAGCAAATGGACCCAGCAGGCGAGCCGAAGGCTCTGCGTACCTTGCACCACGAAGTTTACTGCCTGTCGCTCTGCCTGTGCCCGGAGCTGCGGGTCCCGCTCACGAATCCTTGGCAGGTGTCTCCTTCTGCCCATGATGGACTCCACGTAGCCTGGCCGCCCGAAGGAAAGCAGCATGAGGCAGACAGGAAGGCAGTGTGGAGCCCTGGGGCCAGGGCTTCCATGGCCAGGGCTTCCCTGGCCAGGGCCAGGGACCGGGCAGGACTCCTCCCGCTGCGGCCCTGAGCCGGGGCACCGCGGGGAGCTCGCCCAGGGGCCTCCTGGTCTGTGGCGGGAGACAAGGACAGCAGCAGGGTGGCCTCTGCTTGGCCAGTGGCACATTTCTGCACTCCTTGGCTGGATTCCCGAAATGGCATAGCCACTCCAGTGTCCCTGGCGTGGATGAGGGCTCGGTGGGGCGGGCTGGAGTGGAAGAGGCAGCAGTCTTAGCCTTTGCCAATTTTAAGAAAGATGTGACCACACGGACATGCTGGGAGCGGCCGGAGTCCTCCGCCTCGCCTGCTCCAGCCAGTCTGGGCTCCGCACCTGCCCACCTCCCTGCCCACCTCCCTGCCCACCTCCCTGCCCACCCCGGCCGCCACTTCGGGTCGTGGTCTGGCTCGGGCGGGCATTCCCCAGGGGTCTCGTCTGCTGCTCAGCGCTTCGGTGCCCTGTTGTCTCTTCCACACGCAGCCCCGTCTTCGACACTGCCGGAAGGTGCTTGCTTACCCGTGGGTCACCTGTCCCCATGGATCGCAGCCCCAGCAGGGCCAGGCAGGACACATGCTGGCCCTTGAAAAACGTTTAGGGGAGGGTTTAATGATCGCTTAAGTATTTCCTTACAGCGTCTGCCCAGAAGTGCAGTTCCTGGGTCAAAGGGCATGCAGACGTCACATCTGGACACAGGACGCCCCATGGCCCTTCAACAAAGATACGGGCAAGGAGGGCGGGTCTGGCTCTGGGTCTCCGCTGCCCAGGGCTGGGTCCCACTATGGAACCGGATCACAACACTACCCGCTTTTTAGAGTTGCAGCGAGCATCACATAAGTTACTTTATGGGAAGCCACCAAAATCGTGCCTGGCCTCCGGCGAGAGCTGCATTTTTGTTGTATTTGTCTGCAGTGGTCCTGGCTCCGTAAACTCTCATCAACACTGGGTCCTATCACTATTTTAGCATTTAAAAATTGATAGCGTTACGCTTTTCTCAAGTGTGGGGCTCCTGGCGCACGGATGGTCAGGGCTTCTGGGGTTTCAGTGAGGACACAGGTGGCTGCAGGCACAGGCCGGGCCGCGCAGGCCTCTGTGGGGCTCGCCCCCCAGGCCCAGGGAGCCCGAGGCCTGCCCTGCACGGGGCTGAGTGTGCCTGGCACACACAGAGGCTCCTGCACCGGCTGGTGTCTGGACACGTCGTCGGGACCAGGAGGAGCCTGTAGAGGGGCCACCCCGGGACCCGGGCTTTTGGGTGGGCTCCGGAGAGAAGGGTCATCAGCAGCCCCTCCTGGGAGAGTTCAGGAGAGCCTGGCGCTGAGGGACACGCAGAGCTGGCTCGGAAGGCGAGGCCCGCGAGGCGGCCACTGCCACTGGCCCGTCCGTCCCCTGGAGCGCACGCCGCGTCCTCTGCCCCCTCTAGACCGTCCTCCTTCCTGTCGTCCGCATGAAGTTCCGCTCTTTTCTTTCCTTCCCTCTTCACTCTGCTGCTCTTCTCCAAACGTCTTGTGTTGAACACAAACCATCTGTGTTCACAATTCCTTTTTTTCTTCTTAAAATACTTTAAAATGTTCCTTCATCTCTGGGTTCAGTGTCAGCTCGGCCACACCCCAGTGTTTCATATGACATGCTTCTGCTGCCATTTACTTCTAAAATGTGTAATTTTATTGAGACTTCTTTTTTAATCCTAAATCATTCAGGAGTGCAATAAATTTCCAAATAGATAGACGGATGGATGGATGGCCACACGCATAGATAGCAAACTCCCTTTTCAACTTACTGAGGTCGCAGAACACGTTCTCTTTGATGTCATTTGGAGTCTGTGACCAAGCTGTGAAGTTGTCACATACCACATGCTTTTCTAAGAACATATGTTCTGTTTGTAGGTGTAGGATCTTACTTCTCTACGTCTGTCTGTCCATTTATCACATTCTAACTCAAGCTGGTTAACTCCGTGGCCTCACGCACAGCCTGGCTCTGGACTCTTGTCGGGTGGGGCCTTTCGGTCCCATTTATCCAGCAGGGCTGGACGATCATAAGGCCCCGGCCCACCCAGGCTCCACACCCCCCATCTGCTGTTGGAGTGGCTGCTGTGTGGGAGTGGGGAGGTGCCCGCCAATGGCTATGGCAGCTGCTGGCTTACCTGTCTGGTGACACCGGGCAATGGTTGCTTGAGCGAAGTCCTTGATTTTCTTGTACTTCTGCAAAAAGCTCTCCAAAAACTGGGCAGCTTCCTGAACAGAAACACCAAGGCAAGCAGCAAGCCGCTCCTTCCCTGCATGGGCATAAACGCCAAGGTCAGAAGCAGCCCCAACTCACACCCAGCAGGGTGCATGGAAGTGGCCGGAAGTGGCCGACAGAGGGGTGTGGGAGACTCGGTGAGTCGAGGTCCAGTTGGCGCCACCGGTGTCTTCTGATTGGTCAGGATGGTGCTGGCTTTTGGTTTCACATGTGAGTGCAAGGTGCTGGCCAGCCTGAACTGGGGCCTGGTGATGGTGCGTTTATTCCACAGTTTGGGCTGAGGGCCTGCCCGGTGTGGCGGGTGAGGCCGTGAAGGAGGCAGAGGCAGTGTGTGCTCTCAGCCTGTCTGGAACTGTGGGAAGCTGCACGGGGCGCAGAGGAGGGAGGGAGGCAAAACTCCTCTGCCGAACGATGAGCAAATGTTACCCAGGGTTCCCCGTCCCCGGGATTTTTATTGCAAGACAAATGGTTTTGTCCAGACCCATATTTGGGTCCCAGAGGACAGAAGTATTCCTGTGAAGCTTCTCACTGCAAGCTCTCTGGTTGAGGCAGCACCCCGAGTTCCAGGATGGCATCCCAAGTCTTGCAGAGCTTGCTGGATGCAGGTGCCACACAGATGGGTCTGGGACCACACAGATGGGTCTGGGTCCAGCTCTGTCACTATGAGAGGTTCTGTGTGGCCTCGGGGGAGCCACCGACCTGCAATAGCTGTTTCTTCACCTGTGAATTAGGAACACTAGTCCTTACCTCCAAGGGTTATCGGGGGGTGGGGGTGGGGCATGAACTGAGGCAGGTAAGGCTCTAAACAAACTGGCCCAACTTGGTACTCAATGTGGAGTCATTCTCTCCCATTTTCTTCCAGAAAAAAATAATTTAAATAGGGGATGAGGAGCTCATGAAGACAGACACAGGGCTGGGCTGGACAGCAAGGTCACGGGCAAAGCCCTGGGCTCTGAGCGACTACATCGTTGGAAGGGACCCGAGGGACAAGTGGCCACGACCAGGAGTGGGCTTGCTGCCTCTGCACCGGGTCAACTCTGGGGCCACCTCTGGGGCCACACTAGAGGGCACCCCAAGGGCCTCTGGACAACATGGCCTAGAAGCCTCAGCCCAGAGGTAGGTGGGGTGTGGCGGCAGAGCTAGGAACTGACGTACCTCTCAGAGCCTGTCCTCTCCTCAGCCAGCCACTCCTGGCCCCGGCTAGTGACGCTTTCAGCGGTTCCGGACAGAAAGAGTTCACATCGTGGGAGCGTGAAGGGGCAGATGTTTGCTTCCACAGCTTGGCCACGAAGGGTGAAAAAGGTTGGGGTGCCCTGTGATGCGCAAAGTTTCTCCCAGAAGAGGGAGCTTTTGGCGCCCCCAGTCCTTCCTCTCGGTCTATTCGTTTGGCTAGAAATGAAAAAAACTCCAATTTCCCTTCTAGGGCTTAGTTAAGATCATGTGATAGCTCCACGGACACATTATACTGAAATACTGCATTTAAAACTCTTTCTTCCATGACATTCCACTCACTGCCCCTCAGCCGTGGCTCTCTGATGGAAAACCCCATTGGCTTTCAGGAAGGAATCAGGGTGGCCAGACACTTTCAGTAGGTCTGGCTCGGTGAAACCTTGAGTCTTCTCAGCTGAATCCTTTTTCATGTCTAATCTGCTGTAAAGCCCAGTCGGCCCCAGTCAATATTTCTGATATTGCAATTTTCAGTTTTAGTATTTCCATTTGGTTCTTTTTATTTTCTGAGATTTCCTATTTTTTCATTCATTATGAGCATATTTTCCATTATATCCTCGAGCATAGTTATAATAGTGGCTTTAAAATCCTTGTTTGCTAATTCCAACCTCTGGGTCATCTCAGGATCTGCCTCCTTGGTTGCCTTTCTTCTTGAGTACGAATCACGTTATTTCTTCATCTGTCTGGTAGTTGGGACTGTATCCTAGATATAGTGAATGATATATTGTAGACGCTCTTGATTCCGGTATGTTTTTTTCAGGAATACTGACTGTTTTTTTAAAGGGGACAGTTAATTTGGCTAAAGTTAAACTTCAAACTTTGTCCCTCTGCACTGGGCAAGCTAAAACCTCAGATCGGTTCTTGTCACCTTAGCCGGGCTGTCTGAAGTCTGCCCCCGTCAAGCCTAGTCATGGGTCAGCCAGAGATGTGGGCCGAGTTCGTACCTGGGGTTTCGTGTTCTCCTTCGGCCCCCTCCTTTTTGAGATTTCTCTTTACTTTCCAGATTCTCTGTTTGCTCTGAACGCTGCCCTCTGGTTCTTCGAGCCAGTAAGACCACGGGTTTCTATCGGTGGTGTAGCCGCCCCTGGCACTGACTGAAGCCTGCTTTCAGGTGACGAGCTACAAACGGGGAAACTCGCCCCGTGCCAGTCCTTCCTTCCAAGTGTCAACTTGCCTCTAATTTCTGTTTTTGTCACTTTTCAGAACCTTTGGGCGGTTGCTTATTAGATCTTTTCCACAGTTCGCAGCTGACATCTGTGAGAGGGTGGTCTGATGGGAGCTCCTTGGCCATTACAGGAAGCCACACTTCTCCTCGATATCTACGGCTGAGAAATAATCCCTGTCCTTCCTTTGGGGGAGCCGTTGGGCCACCTGAAGGGCAGGGGTTGGCCAAGGTCTCTGTACCTGAAGGAAGCCTGTTTGCAAGAGGAGCAGATGACGTGGCAACTCCAAACGAAGCAGAGACAGAGACTGAGACAGAGAGGCAGGGTCCAGTCAGCTCTCCAGGCCCTGCATTCTCCCCTTGCCAGGGGGTCTGTCACGCTCAAAGGCCACTGTCCCCCCTGCCCCCAGGAAGGAGAGCTTTCGGTTCTGCAAAGGCTTCTGTCCCATGCTCCTTGTAGACTGGCTCCTTCTTTTCACAAATTTCCCCCACGCTTCGATTCGATGGGCCAGGTTTTTGCCGTTTAAGCTGTAATCACATGCCGGCTTGTCTGCCCGAGAGGAGGATCTCCTTGGAGGGGCGACGAGGCACTCCCCATCCCTTAAACCCTGTATGAACACACGATCTGACTTCTCCCACAGATGGCTAATTACACCATGCGCGCTACAGCTTTAAGAAGGCCTCGCGCTCCTCACCTAACTGCTGTTTCTCACTCTCGATTACAGCTCTGGGGCCTAGCGCGCGCCTGGCACATACGGGGCCTCCAGGAACGCTGGCTGGTCTAACGGGAACACACCAGACTAAGTCCTACGGGCTCGTCAAAACTCAGCGTACGTGCTGCTGCTCTGGGCGGGGTGTCCAGCTCCCCACGCGCCCCCACCCTGCTGCCCTGGCCAGGGCCCTCCCCACTCAGTGCTGTGTTCTCAGGCCTATTCGGTGTCTTTGCTGACCAATGTCAGCCCTCTGGGAGCAGCACTGCGTCTCCCCCCACTGCCCCATGGCGCACACTTGGTGACCCCCACTGTTCTAACGTGCGCGGCCGTGGAGGCAGACCGAAGAACGTGTAACACTTTGAGAAGAATCCAGTGTTAAGTGACGTGAAGAGCAGAAGGAGCACAGGGCAAGGCCGGAGGCGGGAGGCGCTTCCTGGAGGAGGCGTCTCCTGATGCGTGCAGAGGCCTCAGCAGGGCCGGGGTGCGCGCCCACTCGGGATGCCGGAGGAGCAGGGAGCCGCGGTGGCCCTCAGGTCAAGGCCCCCATGCGGCAGTGGTGGCTGCCGTTTCCTGCGGGGCCGCCTCCCCTGGCAGAGGCCTGGCAGCTCCTGAATGCCACCCGGGATGGGGGAGGTGCCGGGCCGGCTGCCCCACAGGCTGCACAGCCGTGATGGCCTCCCGAGCTGTCCCTGCTTGTTCCCAGTCCTCTTCCTCCCCGCAGTCCCTCAGCATCGTCATCACAACGACCCTGCTCTCTGAAGCTGTGCCTCTGCCATGTGCCCCCAGTATTCAGAGCAGTGGCATGTCTACGTGAACACATGTCATCTCCACCCACGAGGGCCGGCCAGTTGGAAGCCTCTTGGTTGAATTTCCACAGGGTCCCGGCAGCTCAGGAGAGGTGACATGTTCACCTGGCAGGCTCCGGCTTCACACATGAGCGGGACAGACATGGCCCTGTGCTAATGCCACCGATGCACAAGAAGCAGCTGTCCTGCTGGCCGGCGACACAGGAACAGCAGAAACAGAGGCTTGGGGCGGGAACCTTGTCGCAGGCAGGGCTAAAAGCAGCCGAGTCGCCCCTTCACCAACACCATGGCTACTGAGTGCCCGCTGATGCAGGAGCAGGTGCCTCTCCTCTCCGGAGTGAAGCAAAGCACCGGCTCCTCCGGAAAGGGACAAGCTGACTCTGGTGCCAGGAGCCGTGGGGAGGGCCACGCCTGCCGACTCCGTGGAGCTGGAGAGTGCTCAGCACCTCAGCCTCGCCGTCCGCCCACTGGGTCTGAGGCCGCGGCCCCAGCACCCGCAGCAAGGCCCAGTCACTTGGGGTGCGCACAGCCATGGCTGAAGGGACGGAGGACCGATGTGGTGGCAGATGCTAAAGAGGAGGCCAGCAGCGCTGGCCGCTGCTCCAGCAGCCCTACCTGCACATTACCCTGGCACGGAGCTGGAAGGCCTTGCGGAGGGCCACGCGGCTGGGAGGGACGGCGTCAGGAGGCCCGGCCGGCCGGGGAGCAGAAGCAGCGTTCTCTGTGCAGAGACAAAGCTCATGGTGTGCCTGCAGCAAGGCGGCGAGGCGCCAAAACCTAATGTAACTGGCCGAATGCTGCCTTCCCGCCAGACGGATTCCAGAAGGTTCGGGAGCCCAGCAGAGAAGAGGCTGGTCCGAGGGCAGCAGCCCAGTGTCGCCCTCCTGGCACCCACTGAATTCAGGTCTTTAAACAAAGATGCTCGGTCCGTTTCAAAGACTGTACACGTGGTTTCAAAAGTGGGCCTGAAAGAGCGCCCAGCTGTTTACTGGCCCAGCGAGCGTCATGGTATGCTGTCCTGCGCCAGGAGGGGCAGAGCTGGCGGTGGCTTCTCCTGCACGGAGCGCCCGGGGCCGGGACAGTGGGGCACACAGGGGAGCGGGCAGGGCTGCGGAGGGCAGAGTGCAGAGGTCTGGGGAGGTTTGGAAAGGGGTGCTTGGCAGACAGGGGCCCACCACTCCCGTTCCCCCAGGTCCTCACGGCCTCCTGTGACCCTCCCCTGGACGCGGGCAGACCTGCCACTCGCTTCTAACCGACAGAACAGGCGTCGGTGTCGAGAAGCACGTGATTGTGTGACTCTGTTACATAAGAGCGGCTCCACCTGGCTGCCCTCTCCCTCCCCGCTGGCGGGAGCCACCTCGTTGGGAGACCCCAGTGGGAACCGGGGGAGCCGACAGCCGGCAGGAGACTGAGCCTGCAAGTGCGTCCCCCGTGGAGCTTCGGTTGAGCCCACAGCCCCGCAGAGGACCCGGCCACGCTGTGCCCGGACTCCTGGCCCGCAGATACTGTGAGATAATTCATGTGTCGCAGAGTCATACAGGGCTCTGGGAAGGCTGGGGACAGTTGAGTGAAGAGCTGCAGGCATCAGGGGCGCGGGTTCTAGTTCAGGGGCCACCGTGCAGAGCCCTGTGTTGGGAGCCGGCTGGCCGGGGCAAGGCGGGTTCCAGGCCATCATAGCGAGTCACTTCCAGGCCCAGAGGAGGCACAGGTCACTCTTATACATGCTCGACCACGTGCTGGCCCAGATATTCTTGCCCTGGAAGCCCGTTCAGTTCTGCAGCCCTTCCTTTGTCAAGGAGGGTCCCCACGCAGCAGGATGAAGTCCCCCAGGGTCTTTGCAGAAGCCCCGCTGTTCAAAAGCCGTGCTGAGCCATGGGGGAAGGAGGTCCACGCAGGCCTGGCCGTAGCCACGTGGACCCTTTCCTAAGGAGGGCGGGCCACAACCTCGCCCAAGGGAACATCAGGCCCCACTGAGTCAGCGCGACCAAGAGCGAGAACGGGATGTGAAAGCCCAGACGGCCCAGGTCAGAAAGTCACAGGGTGCGGAGAGGGAGCGTGGGAGGGATCGGGCCCTGGGGCTGGAGGAGCGGGAGGGCGGGTGGGGAGGGTGGGGGCGCGGGTCTCCCTGAGCCCCTCACAGCACACGAGCGCCCGGCACGAGGGTGACACAGGGCCCTGCACACCACTCCCAGCAGGGTGCCTTGGTCGAAGCTCACTTCCCCACCTCTGTTCTCCCGTCTGAAAGGTCCACGTGAGCAAGGAGTGAGCTGGGGCCGTGAGGGGTCTGCTTGGCGTCTGGGGCATGGCAACTACCATCAGTGTTTGTGAAAACGACACACAGGGACGCACAGAACGAGCTCCACGTCACGCGCACACGCAGGCCGTGACCCGAGCCGCAGCCCACCTGCCCCGTAGACCACGGAGTACACCACCTTCTTGGTCTGCTCTCTGTCCGAGTGCGTCATGCGTTCTGCGGGGACGTCCCTCCTGCACGGGAAGAGGCACGCCGTCAGGACTGCGGAGGCCAAACCGCCGCCCCGCGCACCGTCTGCTCTGCAGCTTCTTAACCGTTTCAAAGTTAGGCCTGTCGTGCAGGTGGGGGACACAGTCCATGACGGCAGCTTCCATCCTGGCACAGGCCCCTGCTCAGATGCTGGCAGGGGGCCAGAGCGTCCACACGCTGGCCAGATGGCAGAGTGGCTACAAACCCAAACCAGGCGGTGCTCTCGCCAGGCCAGCAGGAAGAAAGCCTGTCCCCGGCGCCAGAGTGTCCAGGTGCCAGGGTGCTGGGTGCCAGGGTGCAGGGTGCCAAGGTGCCGGGGTTCCGGGTGCCAGGGTGCTAAGGTGCCAGGGTGCCAAGGTGCCCAGTGCCAGGGCGCAGTGGTGCCAAGGTGCCAGGGTGCCGAGGTGCTGGGGTTCTGGGTGCCAGGGTGCCACAGTGGGCGGGCTGGTCCCAGCGTGGTGGGAGGGCTGGTCCCAGCGCCTGGCCTCGCTTGGCCTTGGCTCCCACAGATCGGGGGCTGGGCTGAGCCCGCCCCCTCGGCATCTGGCCGGGAAGAGGAGCCTGCCCCAGTCCTGGGGCCCTCAGCTGACAGCGCTGCCGCTGCTGCAGCCTTCCCTTCCAGGCGGCCCTGAGCCCAGCCACCAGCCCCAAGTGGGAGCTGCGGGTCCGTCAGCGCCCCTCCCGACAGGCCTGGTGCGCAGGGCTCTCTGAAGTCCCCAGGAGCCGCAGGCCTGGCACACCCTCGCTTCCCAAAGCCTGGCCCTGCTGCTCTGCCCAGCCCAAACTTGCAGGGTCTACCATTTGCCTCAGCTGTAAGCTCTGCGCCAAGCGGCTGCAGGCTGCTGAGTTCAGTGTTTTGGTGCAGCGCCTGCCCTCTCCTGCCCCCAGTGAGTTCGGGGTTAGGCAACACGGCCTGTGGCAGTCCTTAAGGCCCCCGGACAAAGGCAACTCTTTGTGGAAAAAGTCGGCTGGCTCCCTCGGGAACCAAGGCCAGCCGTCCAGCGCTGGGCACGTGGATGTGAGTCTGAGGGGCCGGGGCGAGTGGACACAGCGCACGCCCTCCCGCGGGTCGGGTTGTCTCTCCCTGGCTGCTGTCGCCGTGCGCTGGTTTCCAGAGGTCAGGCATGTTTTTGCTTGGTTTGTCAGCCTTCCCTTCGGGGCACAGGCCCGCAGAGCTGCCTGCCTCCCCGCTTTCCCAGGCGTCCCTGAATTCGCGGCTCTGTGCCCCCTGCGCGGCTCCTCCCTTCCTGTCCCTTCCCCGCTGTTGAGCTGTTTCACCCCCTTGTTTATCTCGCCTCCTACACAGCTAGATTTAGATAAGAAGCGAAACCCCGCAATGCACCCGCACTCAGAACAAACACGCGACGCCTCTGCCGGGCCTCTGTCGCCAGACGCCCTCGCGGCCCACCCAGGAAACCCCGCAGCTGCTCCAAACCTGCTCAGGAGAGACACTGCCGATAAACTCATGAAGACGGGCATGAGTTCCCCGACCCGCCCAGGGCCACCCGCAACGTAGCGATGCCTTGGTTCAAACAGGTGGATCTGGTGACAGACCACGGTGGGCGTGTGGGGGGGTGGGAGGCATTTTGGAGCAGGGCGCCCCTCAACCAAACCACACGGGGGACCGCCCCTCAGTGTGTGGATGGAGCTGGGAAGTCATCTAAAGAAGCAGCAGTGAGCTCTCCCAACACCTGCTTCTTCCCAGAGAGCCACTCTGTGACTCCAACAACACAATCGATAAATAGATATTATGGACACGTATCAAACACTGTGCTCTGATAACAGAGAATGTAGCTCCTTCTCGAGCACATGTGGCATATTTACAATGATCTATCATATATCAGGGCACACAGAAAACGTAAACCAGTTGCACAAAGTAGAAATATTAAAATAACACTCTGATCACAGGGCAGGAAAACTAGAAATTAAAAACAAAAACAGCCCCTCTACCTAGAAATAAAACAAACAACACTCCTATCATACAACTTTTGGGTGAAGAGAAATACAAACAGAAATTACATAATTACATAATTTCTAACGAAAACACTCTATGTCAGAACCAATGGGTTATATTTAAAGCAGTGAGGAAATGTCATAGCCCTAAATGCCTATATCAATAAAACTGAGGAAATGAAAGTACACGAATTAAGTTAGAACGATAAGAAAGCAAATCGAAAAGATGCGTGAGGGAGATAATAAAGCTAGAATACAGATATAAGATATATATTAGACATAACGAGGGAAAGTAACTATAGATATGCAGAGAGTAAAAAATTCCTAAAAAATTATCTTGCGCAATTCTGTGCAAGTACATTTGAAAATCTAAGTGAAATGGACAAATTACATCATTATCTACGTAGTTGTTGGAAAAAACCATGGCAAAATTCAACACCTACTCCTAATAAAACCTTTGAGAAAACAGGAATAGCTTCCTTAAAATTGTAAAATGAAGCACTTCAACTCTTAAGCCAGCCTCTTACGGGAAACAGCAGAGGCATCCTTGCTAAGGTCAGACACAAGGCAAGGATGTCACTACCTCCATCATTGAACATCATTCTAGAAGGATCGGCCAAGTAATCAGAGGACTAACAATTGGAAAATTAAAAAGAAAACTACATCCAGTGGCAGATGTCGTGACGGTATTCGTGGAAATCCCTAGAGAATCAACAATAAAATAATCCATCAAGGTAGCAGGAAAGAACATTAACATAACAGGTCAACAGCTTCCAGGTAGACAAACGATAACTGTGTAGAGGTATAACGGAACAGAGAATCTGATTCGCAACATCGACAAAGCAGTCGAAGTACTCAGGAATAAAGTACGTAGGCAGAAATGTGAGGAACCTGTGTGAAGAAACTTTTAAAACCCCCCGGAAGCCACGAGGAGACTGGATCAAACGCAAGGCACTGCTCGCTCTTGACTGACATGGGGCAATGTCGACTCGTCAGCTTTCTCTGTGTTGATTTGTGAATTTAAACTTTTTCTAACCAATGAAAATTATAAAGACAAATTAGGCCATAAAAAAAAATCTCACAATAAATACAGAAGAATCGACTTTCCTACTAGCAATGAAATGAAAAATTAAAGGGCTGCATTCGCAATAGCGATAAAACCCCAAATACTTGACAATAAGTTTAAGAAGGCGCCAGGTCTTTATGAAGGAAGGGACCTGAAGGGACACAGAGAAGACAGGCCCTGCACGTGGGCGGGAGAAGGCCACACTGAACGGGTGCTGTCACAGTGCCTGTGGAATGTGGGAGTCAAAACTTCACACAGCGACTCTAAAGTCCATCTGAAAAACGGCCCCAACGAGAACAGTCTCGAAGATGTTATGAAGGGTGAACAGTGGGAGCGTAACGGTCGGATCAGACAGGGAGAGCTCAGTACTGACGCCGATGCAGACACAGAACACAGGGAGCCCGAAACGGGCCGCGGAATCCACGAAAACGTGGTCTGCGACTCGGCGCTGCAAATCGATGTCGGGCTGCAGTTGATTAATTATTTGGGAAGTTATGAAGTTCAAAGTCTGTTTCATTTCATACACGAAAATAAACTAGAGACGAAGTAACATAAAAAGAGGTATCACGAGAGGATGGGGACCAAACATCCGTATGGAAGAGCTCGGGAAGCCACGGGGCCAACTGGCGGCGCCAGGCCTTGGTGCATGACAGGGAAAGGGTGGGCTGGGGGGTGGGCATTCCATACGACATGCTGGGACGGCTGGTTTGCCGTGTTGGAGAAAATCAAATTAGATCTTAGTTTTCACGTGTCCACAAAATCTGAACCAAGATGGATTGAAAGCCTACACAGGGAAAAAAAAAAAAAGCAAATCTTAAAGTTAAGGAAAACAATGAATGATAAGGTGGTCTACCTCACAGTTTTAAAATCCTGCATGATAAAAAGGATCCTAAAATTAAGAGACAATTAAAACGATGCACTAGGCTTATAAAGGAGAAACAGGGTAATAGCCAAAATATATACAGAACTTCTAAAAGCTGATGAGAGCAATAATCTGATAGAAAACTGGGCAGAAAATGTAAACAGAAAATTGTAGGAGTGGCAATCAGAATGGCTAATTAACAGAACATATAAGCCCTGTAAAATGCACACAGAACACGAGACATCACTCTCCACGGAGCAGGCCGTGAAGTCCGCCCACACCAAGGAATGACGAGGAAACAGGTTCTGGCTTGTGGCGTGGGGCAGCTGCTCGAGAGGGGACTCTGAAAAACTGACCATGCAGCTCCTAGAAGCAGAGACACTGGTTTCAGGCCCACGCCAGGCCCCTGGGGGCCTCCACGCGCCTGAGGGTGCGCCTGGCCCGACAGCAGCACCTACGGTGCTTTCCGCTGACCAGGCCCACGAGGCCGGCAGAGGACAGTCTGGTGTCAGAGACACCGAGCTGCAGAGTGGTACCGGGAGCCGCCCATGCAGGCATCGAATCAGGGCTCTGCCACCTCCATGACTTCTCCTGGTTCGGGCCGGGACCCCTCACCAGGCGGCACAAGGAACCCCCCGCCTTCCTCGCCTTACGACCCGTTCTCTGCTCAGCGACCACGGCCAGATGTAAACGGCCCCTTGCTGGACGCCAATGGATGGGGTTCGTGGCAAAAGTGGCAGATTAGTCACACAGGTCTACCTGCTCCCGCCTGGAATTCCACTAAAATAAAGCAAAGGAATCGAAAGGTGTGAATTTGCAAGAGAGAAAGGAACAGGAGAGCGACCGCCAGCAGGAGAGAGGTTCCGGCACATGCAGGACGGGGAAAGGCTCAGGTGGTGGGGAGGCTAACGCACCGTGTCTGGTAACACACACGGGTGATGGGGTGACGGGGTGACAGCAGAGGGGGTAAGGAAGGCTTGGGAGTGGGGTACAGCCCAAGGCCAGGGAGCGACCAGAGACTGGGTGAGGAGCGGGGCAGGGGACAGGGTGGTGAAAGGCCGAAGCACCGTCTGGAACTTCGTACCTGGCACCCACCCAAACGC